CGATCAGCAACGCTGCCTTCAATTAACAATAAGATTGAAGTTGCATATTCACAACGAACCTCGATAATGAAACCTCTAGGGTCACAATGTCCGAGAATTACGATAAATACAAATCAAGCAGCGTCTCAAAAATATCGGAGTTCCACTCCAGCCGCTCGAGTCAACGATATTGAGAAGAATGTAAAAGTGATACAGTCAAACAAGTACATGGTCCATAATGTGTGCGAAAAGATTACATGAAGAATTGATGCCGAAGCATTTGTTACAACCCGATCAACAACCACAAACAAAGTCAACATTGCTCTCGGACGTAGGATCCTCTGGGTTGACTGGTCTTTTGCTCCGGGAGTTGCAGCTACAATGAAATTTTCCAGGTTTGAAGAGGCACCTTGGGTCGAATGTTTAACATCCATGCAGGTCAGGTCGAAGTCCAGACTGCCGACCTCTGGACTTGGCACTGGCTGCCGGTTTATAATACGGATCTGTTTCGGGCTACCGACCACGGTTGCCCAGCTCCTGTTTTTTGGAGTACTAACCGCGTCTTTATTCACAAGTTGATCTCAGTTCCCCTGCTTGTGTAGCCCGTTTCCTCGGCCCACATTTTCGCTGAAGTTGCTTCGTGATTCAGCACCCTTCTTCCTCTTACTGCTGGGTTTAAGGGCATTCGGAGCATTTGTTTGTTTTTTACTTCCTTCGGCTTTGATGCTTCTGGCGGTACCTTCGGAGTAGACCTCCTGGTGGTATCATCGCCTGCTCCTTCGAGGGTCGATCCTCCGTTATTTTCTAGACTTCTGGTATTTTTACCTCACGTCGTCTGACCTCCATTCTCACCTTCCTATTGGAGCCGACGTTCGCTGTCATACGTGACCTTAAGTGCGGCTGACTATCTGGCGTGACGCGGATTCCGCTGTCGGTTTGTATTTTGGTTGTACCCGCTCTTGATAATAATAATAATAATGTATATTTCACAAAGCCCGTGAAGCATCCACAAAGAACGATCAAATGTTTAAAATAATCATATATACAACAAAAGTGCAAGTATGTAGAAGGTTCAATTAGGAGACGTACATAAGGGAGATGATGGGGGAGCGAAACGAAAACGCGATTCAGACGGAACACAAAGCGGACAAGCTCACAGATGTACATGTGCGGGATGGAAGAATTCACTGGATAAGCATACTATAAGAAACTAAAGGAAGAGCGAACATTGTATCGAGAGGATTAGACGTGTGGAAATATTGGGAGAAAACACGGATTGACGTTCAGTAAAACGATGAACGAGAGATGGAGACTCGCGGATAGAAGAGAAAG